TATATATATATATATATATATATATGTATATATATATATATATATATATATATATATATATATATATATATATGTATATGTATGTATATATCGCCTTTTTGGGGCTCGTCAACACAGTGTAGCTGATAGTGAGCTTTTCATCCGAAATTAAAGTATTTATACAACCAACAATGAGATGATGGATGTGGGACACATAAATTGCTGGTTGTATAAATACTATTCGAATGAAAAGCTCACTATCAGCTACACTGTGCTGACGAGCCCCAAAAGGGCGAAACAGCTGTCCGCAGTTGCTGGTAGTGAGCTTGGGGCACAATTGCCGATAGGCCTTTGCGCTGATTTAAATCTGTGACATGCAGAGATCATGCGTATTAGGTTGAATGGCATTCTTGTCGTATATATAATTTATGTGTCCCACATCCATCATCTCATTGTTGGTTGTATAAATACTTTTCGGATGAAAAGCTCACTATCAGCTACACTGTGCTGACGAGCCCCAAAAGGGCGAAACGGCTGTCCGCAGTTGCTGGTAGTGAGCTTGGGGCACAATTGCCTATAGGCCTCTGCGCTGATTTAAATCTGTGACATGCAGAAATCATGCGTATTAGGGTATTAGGTTGAATGGCATTCTTGTCGTATATATAATTTATGTGTCCCACATCCATCATCTCATTTTGTTGGTTATATATATATATATATATATATATATATATATATATATATATATATATATATATATATATATATATATATATATATATATATATATATATATATATTAAAGACAAAGATAACGGAAGATGGTTTCTGGGACAGTGAAATGACTTCAAACGTGTCAAGTGTAACATCAAACAATTCTTTGTATAATTATATACTTCCAATTTATCAGCAATTTTGTCACATAATGTACTTTTGTAACCTTATTATGATATATTAAAAGAAATTGCATGCTGTAATCTTGACTCTTTATTGGGAAACTCTTAATTTCCTTGTAGTTATAATTAAATTGAATTTCATTGTTTATAATAAGATGGAGTCCTGCCCAATGTCTAGGCTCGTCAACATGCCTCGGAAACACATATTACCATACATTATTATGGAAAACTTGTGATTCTGAGATGGACAGCCCATGGAAGGCCGACAAAGCAAACCAGTTTTCAGGCGCCAGAAACTCGGCTTTCACACCTTTCCCGAATAGCAAAAGGAGTCTGGTTAGACATGGATAACTATTTGGGACACTTTGTGAACATGCAATTGCTCAATATTGCTCAATCTAACCGTTTGCCCAGTGCCCCCATCCCATTTAAAACTTTAAACCTAACAACGAAATGAAGAAGCCTAACCAAAGTCCTGTTGAGACATTGATGGATTTTTTTATAAAGTGACTAAGATATTACAAAGATTTTGATTTGGAAAATGATTGATGAGATATGTCAAGGTGCTTCATCGTTGTATAATATATTTACAAAGAATAGTTAGAGAACATGAATAAATATCTATAAAACAGAGTTACTTTGTTCCAAAAAGCTTTGCAACGTAAAATTAGCTTGCATTACTACCACCGAATTAGACAGATTAAATTTGTAAAGTATGGTGCATTTAGGCACAATTTGCAGCTTCAAGCTTGTTCTCGAACAAGAACCCGGACGTGTGTTTAATACCATGCAGGCTTCGCTTTATTGATTTTCAGGAGAAGATTTTCGGACGGAACAATTCCTGTATCTAAAGATTTCCGTTTTCCATCTACAAAAGAAACAAAACACTGCTTTATGCTTGATACAAATGTTTATTTAACATATTACGTATATTTCAATAAATATGAACAAAGACCTAGACAATTACGATATTGTGGGCTATAAAAATGAATCAATACTTACGTTCTACTGTAAGTGTAGTTCAGAACATATAAGAATAGATTGTTGTCATCGATTTTCTTTTTCAAGTCTGGTGTCATTTCTCTCGTTCATAAAACCACACGGAGTCATTCCTTATGGACAGTGACCTTCAATGCTCAAGTCTCGTCTCCATCGTTCCGTCCATGCAGGAAAAGGAATCTTAAACAACGAAACACTGCTCTCTTGACTAGTCAAACAACCAAAATGTGCAAGTTAGCACCCAGCGTTGCGTCGCTGCGGAAAAAATTCTTAAATTCGAGAGAGAACGCAATTTGCTCAACGATTTTGATGTATCAATTATCTCATCTCATATTACAGCCTATATATTGTTTGTCACCCATGCACTAAACTCGGCACGTGACCTCAATTATCGAGAACAATAACATATTTTGAGGTGTGTCCAACTAGCCAAACTATTTTATTTTATTTACTGTGTTTAAACTCACATGCAAGTTGTATTTTTCAAGTCATTCTGGGGAGTAATTCCCAACACTGATTGGTTGTCAACAAGACTGAGGCGAAATGTCGCCAAAGGAAGCAATTTAAACGCTCATTTCGTTAAAAAGTTATTAATCAAATTAAAAAATCACTTTTCTTTTCGTGATTTAACTAGGCTTAACAATTAGACAACTCAGCCTCGTTGCTATGAACGAATAGTCAACTCGGCTTTGCCTCGTTGACTACTATATAGCTCATAGACAAGTCGACTTCGTTGTCTTAACTGTTAAATATTTACATAACTCCATAAAATTAAGAAATATCAGAAAAAGGAATATCTAAAACTGAACCGGATTTATATATATATATACGTTTTTAGGGTGGTTGGCAATTGGCAAATTCACTAAAATGTTGTCCGATTTTCTACGTTATTCAAAGTCATTCCTGCGCTTGACTCTAAATTCTCGTCTTGAAAAAATGTTTCACACTCTAAATTCTCGTCTTGAAAATATGTTTCACACTCAGCGTTTTTACTGACCCTTAAAACCATGGATTTCATTAAGTTCATTTTTGCAAAAATCTAGAACTGAGAAACCTTAAATAGAACAAGTCATTCTTGCATTTATCAGAATAAAAAAGAGGTATAGGTATATTCGTATTATATGTTCTACCTGCTCACATACCTTTTTCCAGGTAGAACCGCGGATGAAAGGCATAAAGCGGCTACAACTGGTAAATTGCTTCAGTCCCATTTCATAAACCCGCGAGCTGTTTAATATGAGTGGTACTTGCATATTATTTCTAGCAAATGGTCCATAAAGTATATCTAAACCATGAATAGTCCTTAAAGTATCCTTCTCAAATTCATTAATAATTCATGCGCAATTCAGCCAATGATAATCACCTATTTGATCACAAGATGCCATTTGGATACTTGATGAAAGTCACTAGTGTTTTCATCAAATATCTTAATTACGCATGCAAAATTACTTGGATAGAATTCCTAATTACGTTAGGCTTGGTTAAGAATTCTATTCAAATCAGGAAACGAAAACATTCTGTTACGTCTCGATTCATTTGAGAAGCCATATAAACAACTCGAGCTCGTGTCTCACCGGGATATCCAAACACTCGAAAACATTGTATGAAAACAGTCGCGCTTCGCGCTCGTGTTTTCATACATTGTTTTCTCGTGTTTGGATATCCCGGTGAAACACTCGCTCTCGTTGTTCATATATTACATCAAATTTCTGTTCAATTCCGCGGAAATGTCATGCAAATGGTTTCGATTCATCCAAAATGGATTTATCTCCGGGATTATATTCTTCATTCCAGCTGAATTACCTGTCCAATAGAAATGTGATATATCTGATAGTACATATAGGTAGAAACGACATTTAAACTATCTACTGAAGAATTTTCCAAATACAAATGCATAAACATTCTTACAACTGGTGGCAAATTTATCCTAGAATGACCGCGGATGTGGAGCACCGATACACGTGTACTCCGGTCGTTCTGTAAAATATGTTAATTTAATTATCCTTCCAATTCTCTCTTAAATTTGCTTCACTAGAAATCATATGTCGCTGTCAAAGCTGACGGTCAAGAGACGCCATGCCTTATTCATGTTTACAAAAGTGAAAATGAAGAGATTTGGAGAAATACGACAACTGTTCTTTCATTCCTCTCTTCAAATGGTGGACATGATAACATCTTGCCCTTTTTATGGAGTGCTAAAGGTAAAGATGTTATTTCGTTTAGAGAAAAACGAAGCAGATAATATGCATCAATAAACACTGGTTTTCAACAACAAAAATACATCACTGCCAAAAGTAAAATGGTTTTGGTGCACATTTGGGGGAGTAGGTTTTGCTTCCGAAATTGTTAATTCGATGTGAAAAGGGCCAGTCTTTACTGAACGTTGTTGTAACCTGATTCGTCCGATAGGGAATGTTGACAGAATTGGTTAGGATAATCCTTTCTGATGCAGTAGCGGTGTCTCGTTATCCGACGTTTATTTTAATACCGGAGCCCCCGTAGAAAGCATGCAAATCAACCAGATTGAGCTACGTCCTTCGCAATTCCGGATACTTTCAGATGCAAATAAGATTTATTAACACAGTGACCCACTTTCGTATTTAGATACATTACTAATCGTTAATTTGGGGCCGGCAAAAGCTAGGGTGCCTATGTATCCAAATAAAGACCAGTTTCTTGCTTGCTGATCTCCAACAAAAGTTGAGGATATCAATCTGCCAGATAGACATACATGTACAATGCAAGTTTTTTCCATGTTTGTATATATCGAACAATCATCTTATTTACTTGAACAGTTGTTCTGCCTCGCATAGAAATCAGCGACTAATGACTTAATTTGAATTATTAAAATCCTTGTCACATCTTGTCAGTTTTATCTGGATGTTGCAACACATAATGTACACATAGTAAACTGTGGGCCATGCTCACAATTAATTTCCTTGCAACTTTGTATAACGTGCCTTTGTCTCGATTGTTCTTATTAGGGGACAAAGTGAGGGTCGAGAACATAGAGTCCTTGAAAACGATCAAGTTGGAAGTGGAAAACGATGATTGGTATGGACGTATTGATATATTACAAGGCTATAGTATAATTTCATTTTTGCAGCTATTGTTACAAATTGACTTTGTTGCCACATTGGTTTCCATTTTTATTCTTAGTTTGATCTGTTATGAGCTGCCTTCAAAACAAACATTGGATGTATTCCTTAAGTTGAATAACCAGGAAATTGCTGAAGAGAAAGTCTACTATATTTTGAACGGTCTTATTCGAGCAATTCATTATCTTTCTTCAAAAAAAGTTGTTCTCCGCTCCGTTCTTCCAGAGAATATCATTCTTGTTGAATCCCCTCAGGTAAGGGCATTCATATATTTTATCCGTATACACTGTAATCTGGGGGGGGGGAGCCATTTTGACCTGGGTTTTCCTCTGGAGAAACCCCAAAATAGAATAATACACAATGTGCACAGTTATTCAGTCAAATAATTTTCAGATTGGATGGAAGCCTAGCTAGATTTCAAAGTTTTCGTTCCAAATACCCAGTTACTGCCCTTAATAACGAATTTAAGCAAAAATTAATCTAGTATGGTGACGTGACAAGAAACAGCCTCAAATTTTATACTTCAAAAATTCGGTAGCGATATTGTAGGAACCATAAGCAAGAAGGACGCAAATGCAACGACGACGACCATTAATTTAATGACAATTATAATTATTGTGCAAAGAAATTATTAACTAAATTGTCATAAAAGTATTAGATGTCGTTCTTTTCTGTTTACAACAGCAAATTAAAGGACTATGAAGTCCTGTATACAACGGCTACATTTCAAGCTGTGACAACGGCTATTTCAGATTTCATCATGGAACTCTTCTCGACATAAATTATTGTCTTAACCACCATCCTCAAAATGTATAAATTTCATACGATGCTAAAATTGACGACATATTTTCCTTACAGTAACCCAGTTTAATGTGTTTATTTACTGTCGTGGTACCTTTACCGTCCCCTGATCAGGCGGAATTTTGCGCGGTGCGGTTTTTTCTTTTCCTTGTGAATTCTTGGATGAATTTATCAGAAAAAACGCCTAGCAGAAAACCGGTTTAGTTCGCTAATTTCTATAATTGAAACACCACAGGGACCGAAAGTTATGATTTGTTCTAGTTTTATGATTTGTTTCTAAATCGCTCTAGCTGTCATTGTGAAAATTCATTTTTAAAACTTTATGCATTATTCTACTTTTTGATTTGGAATGATCAGTTTCGCCAGTTGCCCACATAATCGCGTTGTTCATGTATTAATTATTATGTGAAATACTTTTGTCAGTGATAGCTGGCTCATTAAAATTATGAAGTTTTATGCAGGAAATAAATGAAAATTGTCGTATAAAAACTTCCCAATTGTTCGATTTTACCTAGGATTATTTATAATTCTTAAAATTCAGTAATTTCCAGGTTTTCTTGTCGGGGATTTGCTACCTTCCTAAATCAACTTGTGTAAAGAACTAATTAAGATAGACAATTTGAGATGCAACAGAAGAGCAGAACCACACTGTAAATTTCAAAGAGTTGAATCAACTCCGAAAGTGTCATTCTTTCACCGTCTTTGGTGACAGAATAGCATTTTTGGACTTGATTTAACTCCTTTAAATTTACAGTGCACTAAGATGTGTTTGCCCATGAATTGGCTCAGCCCCGCATGAGTATTTAAGTGACCAAATCGTGACAATTTGATTAGGTGAAAAGTTCAATAATTGTTCACGAATTCGCAATGATATATTCAAAAAGGATATTTTCAAGCAAATGCCTCATCCTCTTATACCTTTAGCTTGGAGTAGTAACCACTGTACTTGGAGGGCTGCATAAAGCCAAATTTGTATCCTCCTCATCAGAGGAGGGTAATGAACTCAGCGAAGAAAACCTAAAAGAGCTAGAAGTGAATGTGATGACATTTGGAAATATGACAAAAATGTTACTTGCAGTTTGCCCAGCACTGGATAAATACCAGGAGGTAAGTTGCCAAATACCAGAATATAATCCTCATACCTTTTAACTGAGTAGGAATGCAGACATTCAGTAGAAATGTCTGGAATTGTTACATACAACTTTTAGTCAGTGACAGACGAGCTTCTTGAGTGGAATTTTCACACCATAGGTGTTCGTTAACACGAAAGTTTAACGATAAAATAAAAAATAAAATGTAAAGATGGCATTAAAATTCAGTTTTTCGTGTAACATTCATATTGTTGAAACGTCTACAAGCCACCTCTATCCTAGTTTGGACACGTGTTAAAGTTCCTCCATTTTTATACTAGCTTGTTGATATTATGGTGTCTTGCTTGAGTGATTGCAAACCAACCGCGTCAGATTTGGTGGAACAATTGGCTCTAATGGACCGATGAACTACTTTATTTGATACTGTATATCTAAGTTTTAAATTATTTGTAAGAATAGTTGATATAGAACAATAGGAGTTTAAGTTCAGCATACTGTAACTGCACGGTTTAATTAGGCATATTCATATTTAAAAACTAGGTTAAATATGTTTCCATTTTTTAGGCATTCATTTTGGTTTGCTCATTAAATTTAACTTAATAAAATAGACTTAAATTTAAAAGTTAAAATATTATATAGTGTAGTGTGCACATTAAAATATTAATATGTTAAGTAAATGCATTTGTAACGTTTTTAACGTTCGACATAAATAAATCCTTGTAGGCAAAAATTGCTTCAAGTTCTACTTTTGAAATCAACGAGAATAAGGCAGCCCTCTAGAGTTGAGAAAATGGATGATCTCCGATCTAAAACACAAAGGAAGTCCGACAAGAAAAATAATAACTACAGATTTTGATTTTTGGAGAAAAAACCCCCGCAAATGCCGCTGTTATGATAGCCTGCGTGTCAGGTTCTATTCTTGAAATACAGCTTGCTACCGAAGTCCATGAAAAGTGGACAGTCATTTGGATGTACGAAAATAACACCAAATCAAAAGGTGATTGTTAATCAGATTATCAAAGCTAACTTAAAATATAACAATAAAGGTCAATTTTCCCCAATATCTGGAAAATAAATATTTCAATTTTCATTAAATGGCCAGGATTTATACATACTAAATAATAATAACGATTATTGACCGTGTTTATAGACAGCAGAGGAAGCAACTAATGCGGAAAAAAGTACAATTACCACTGCGGAATATCATATTATGTAAACAACAACATGAAATTACCTTATAAGGCAAGGCTGTTTATTTCTGACCAATGGTAATTTTGCGCACGATTCGTACGCATAAATCCACGCAGGCTACTGTCATGACAGCAATGGCGATTGAATATGCCCGATAAATAATTGAATCCTTAAGCCCGCCGCACACGAGCGCACTTGTCGCGCGTACTTGTTATTCGTGACACGTTGGATCGACAAAATTTCCTCGTGTGCGGGCAACATTTACGGCATTTTCGTCATTCGTGACATGTAAACCTGTCTTGACATGTAAAAATTGTCTTTGAGCCAGCTCCATCTTTTTATCTTCCTTATCTTTATCTTCCTTATTATCTTTATCTTTATCTTCTTATATTTATCTTTTTATCTTCCTTATCCTTATCTTCTTATCTTCCTTATCTTCTTATCTTCTTATCTTTATCTTATTATCCTTATCTTTATCTTCGCTATCTTTATCTTCCTTATATTTATCTTTATCTTCCTTCTCCTTATCTTTATCTTCCTTATCATTATTTTTATCTTCCTTATCTTTATCTTTATCTTCCTTATCTTTATCTTTATTTTCCTTATCTTCTTTATCCTTAATAATCCTCCCACTATGTTGATATGTTCAACACAACTTAGGCTCAGAATCGAGCTCGAATTTCTCAGAATCGAGGTCGAATTGCTCGGGGCCGAGTTCGAATGGCTTTACGATTCAATGATTCACTCTTATGCTTCAATGATTCAATCTTATGATTCAATGATTCACTCTTAGGATTCAATGATTCAATCTTATACTCCCTGGGCTCAGAGCCAGCTCCTTAGGCTCGGAAAAGCTTTACGGAATATTTACAGAAGCTTTACAGAAGCTTTACATAAGCTTCACAGAAGCTTCACAGAAACTTTACAGAAGCTTCACAGAAGCTTCACAGAAGCTTCTGCTCGGCTCCGAGCCTAAGGAGCTGGCTCCGAGACCAGGGAGTATAAGATTGAATCATTGAATCCTAAGAGTGAATCATTGAATCATAAGATTGAATCATTGAATCGTAAGAGTGAATCATTGAATCGTAAAGCCATTCGAACTCGGCTCCGAGCAATTCGAACTCGATTCTGAGCCTAAGTTGTGTTGAACATATCAATATAGCGGGAGGATTATTAAGGATAAGGAAGATAATAAGATAAAGATAAGGAAGATAAAGATAAAGATAAAGATAAGGAAGATAAAGATAAAGATAAGGCAGATAAAGATAAGGAGAAGTATGATAAAGATAAAGATAGGGAAGATAAAGATAGGGAAGATAAAGATGGGGAAGATAAAGATAAGATAATAAGATAAAGATAAGAAGATAAGGAAGATAAGAAGATAAGGATAAGGAAGGGAAAAAGATAAATATACGAAGATAAAGATAAGGAAGATAGAGGTAAGTAAAATACAAAGATGGAGGTGGCTCAAAGATAAGAAGATGAAGATAAGGAGATAAGAAAAATAAAGATAAGGAAGATAAGAAGATGAAGATAGGGAAGATATAGAAGATAAGGATAAGGAAGATAAAAAGATGAAGATAAAGAAGATAAGAAGATAAGGATAAGGAAGATAAGAAGATAAAGATAAGGATAATAAGATAAAGATAAGAAGATAAGGATAAGGATAAGGATAAGGATAAGGAAGATAAGAAGGTAAAGATAAGAAGATAAAGATAAAGATAAGGAAGATAAGAAGATAAGGATAAGGAAGATAAAGATAAAGATATAAGAATAATAAGATAAAGATAAGAAGATAAGGATAAGGAAGATAAAGATAATGATAAGGAAGAACCATTTATATTTTTACGGCGACATGTGGGTGTGATGTAGGGTCGATGTAGGGTCGATGTAGGTCGATGTGGGGTCGATGTGAGGTCGATGTAGGGTCGATGTAGGTACGATGTAGGGCTAGGAGTATAGAAACCATGGCGAATGAACAATTAAGCCAAACGACTCTTATTACAAAAAACATTTAAATTGTTGTGCGTAATTTAAATAAAATCAAACACATTATGCTCTAAGAAGTAGATCACATTAATTAACTTTGTAAACGTCTTGAAGAAATAAATGTATTTTAAGACTTAATTCTTGTGTAAACTTTTGGATGCAAAGCGCTCCTGTCTTGTCTAAATTGCTTTCTCTCTTCCAATATAGGCCTCCTTACTGTTGTGTTTCCAACCCGCACGGATAACCCGCAAAGAACGCGCAATGAATATCCTAATCTACTCGTATTTATCCACACATTAGAAAATGCAAATCTCTGATAAAAGTTAATCCTTTAATTAGTTTCACCCTAACAACACATAGCAACCGGGGCGCTTTAATATAGCTTAAATTTATTAACCTTATCCGAGTTTTAGTACCTAGCACTAAAATATAGAAATCGCTTGACAATTATATATCATGACCTCTAACTTCCATGTGTTTATATAACTCTAGACAGTAACATATTCTCTCGTATATAGGCCCCATATGGCAGACCGGTATTTAAATATTAGTTTAATTGTAAATACATAACTCTTACCGCATGCTACTCCTCAGCCTTTTGACGCTTGATAATATTTATATATCACTTAACAACAAAACATATAGCTGTATACTCCGAATATATATATATAAGTTTAAGATATATAACACTCATGCTATTTCATATAGTATCAGATTTTTTATTCCTCTATAAGCTAAATTATAGAAATCACTTGACAATAACAGCAAAATGCTATAGCCGTGCTTATAAAATTCCAGATAACCCCATATTCTCTGGTATATAGCCCTATTTTTCAAATGGCAGACCGGGATTTAAATATTAGATATGGGAACGCTAGCAACATCCGTAAATGTAAAAAACACTCTTCAAACCTCAAATCATAGTAAATCGACATTAATCCCTCTATTTCAGAAACTAGTTGCGATGCTAACTGATCGCGTTGCCTGCCACATTTGGCCCAGGCCTGCCCACGCTAATTGGTCGCGCTTCCTGTCACATTCGGCCAAGGCCTGCCCAAGTGACATCATAGCAAAGTCACGTCATTGTCGGCATCATTTGTACTCCAGAGGGGGGTCATTTACTACTCTCCGGACAGGGTTATTCTTTCAGCGGACAAAGGTAATTGTGTTGTTGTTATGGACAAACTTGATTATCGCGAGAAGGCCCTTTCACTGTTGAATGACATAAATACGTATTTTATTCTCAAGTTTGATCCTACTGGAAAAACTGAAAGAGGTTTAAACGCCAAGTTACTTCTTTAATTTGAAGAAATCCAATATTATCAGCAAGGCTACATATGAAAAGTTATACAGCAGTGATGGACTATCTCTGCGTTTCTATGGTTTATCGAAAATCCATAAACCGCAAATTCCATTGAGACCTATTGTGTCTTTTCTGAATTCTCCTACACATGGAGTTTCAAGTTTTTTGGCGAAAATTTTGTCCCCCGGGGTTGGAAATACCGAGAACACTGTCAAAAATTCCTGTCATTTTGTGGAATTTGTATAAGAGGTAAAGCTCCTAAAGCAGATCAAGTGTTGGTATCATTTGATGTCGTTCTCTTGTTTACGAACATCCCAGTTGATTTTTCCATCAAGGTTGCGACAAAAAGTCGACTAAGACAGGATGCCACTTTGTTACAAAGAGACGGATGTTTATCGCAAACCCACACACACAGATAAATATTTGTCATACGATTCTCATCACCCAGTAAGCCATAAAAGATACGTAGCAAAAACTTTCACTTGCTTCAAAGAGCAGAATCCTTGCCGTCAATCAGTGATTCTAAAGCCAATGAACGTGAATATGCTCTAAATGTTTTAGGGGAAAACGATTACACAAAACATTTTCTTAATGATTGCCTGAGATCACCTGTTTGTAGGAACCAAAATAACTCCGAGGGTGATACCTCTGTTAAGGGTAGTTCCATACATTCAAGGTGTCACAGAGCCAATCAAGAGAATCTTAAGCTATTGTAATATTAAGGTTGCCTTAAAACCCTTTTTGACTTTAGGCCATATTTTCGCAAAGCCAAAAGATCCTGTTAAAATAAATCAGAAAACTCATGCTGTATATTCTATGCCATGCGGTGACTGCGAGAAAGAGTATTTGGGTCAGTCTAAACGCCAGTTTGGTACACGGCAAAAACAACATCAAAAAACTGTTTCAACTTTAGACAAGGGAAAATCAGCTGTAGCTGAACATTTATATTACACCAAACAGAAGATTGCATGGGAAAACTCTAAAGTAATTACCCCAAACAATCGCTATGGTCAAAGACTTTGCCTAGAAGCGTGGCATATAAATATGAGTAATCGTGCTTTGAATAGCGATGACGGTGCCTATTTCCCAGAGGAATACATGCATCTCTTTGGCAAGTAACATCAT